GGGCCGGGCCCCCCCACAGCCTGGGCAGAGGGGATGTCGTTGGGGGGCAGTGCGAGGTACTTCGCACCCCGGCCAGCACGTGCAGGCCAGCCCGCTCTCCCACCTGTGCCGGTGCCACGACCTCCCGTCGTCGGGTGTGCAGCGCCACGTTACGCCGCCCCAGCCACGCGGGCCTCTCGTCCGCACGCCCTGAGCGGGACGAAGTGCGGCTTCCCCTGCCCGTGTCCGCTGGGCAGATTTTGGAAAACAAGAAATACACAAAAAGCAGCGTGTTCGTTTCTCTAGTAGCTCCACCGTGCGCGGCAGGTCTGCCGCCCGCTGCTGTTTGCTTTGCGCTCGGTGCAGCCGCCTCGTCGCCCCGCTGCTTTCGCTGCAGCGTCGTGGGACGCGCATCTAGAAAGCGTTGCTGTGGTGCGGTTTTTTAAGATAATGTTTCCCACCCTCCTTTTTTTTTAAACTAAAACATGCGCCGAGCTCAGAAACGTAGGGCCCAAACTGCTGAGCAGCTTTGAAAAGTCAAAGGCAAAGAGGATGAAGATGTAGCTACGGTTGAATGAGCTCGAATCTGTTCATCTGTGTTTGGCTTCGTGTCCCAGGTGCTAGATCTCCACCTCGGATGGAAACGGGTCGGCCGCGGGCAGCCGGAGCCCGTTAAGACGAGAGAAAAACGAGATCGCGGTCTTTCTTGTCCAAAATGTATTTGGTTTAACTTTGTTTGCTGTAGAGCAGCAGCCAGGCAACGTGTCAATTTCTCAAATACTTTCTTTGGAACATGCTCCCGTTTCCTAAGAAATGCTGTGGACGATGCAAATAAAGAAAATAAATCCCAAGCTGTCATTCAAGGCTTAACTTTGGGTGGCAGGAGAAACAATGTAAGAAACTTGATTCATGCTAGCATGTGAATTGTCAGGAAATGTTCATTTTTAAAGGGGGGAAAAATCAGTATTGAGAACAAAAACGCCAGGATTCAGTCAGGGTAATCTTCCTACCTTTTACACGGCAGATTTCATATTCCGTTTAATTACATGTGGTGCAAAACAGCTGCATGGAGAAGTACAGTAAGTGTTATTCGTGGATAGATTCACAGAGCTCAAAATGTCAGTGTGCGGCTACGAATGCACTCTTACTATTGATACAGACCAAAACAAGGGTACCTCGCTTACATGAACATGAGATGACTGATAGGATGCCAGTCCAAGTTTGTCCCCTTTTGCCTACATAGTAACAAACATCTATCTTTGTGTATCCATTCAGCACAGAAGTTGCTTCACGGATAGTATTTTTCAGCCCCACTGTCTATTTTGTAACTAAACCACTCTGTGGTTTATTTCACTGCCTGTAACTGTCTAGTTTGTAACTGTTTCTACTCTTCACAACTGCTCTAAAAACAAAAGGGAAGCAGTTTGCAGCCTTGTGGCCAGGTGGGCCAGATCAGCAGTGCAGGGCCCTCAGGTTGTGGGCCAGATCCTATGCTGCACACCCAGATCTGTGTGCAGCCCTGGGGCTGTGTTATATGGTCCCCGGGGCTCACTATGGGCCTGGAAATTTGGCTGCAGGAGAACGCCTGTTAATGCTGCCAGCCACCAAATATCTGGAGCCCTGCAAGCCTCATTTGAGCACCTAGTGGAAGGCTTGGAAATGACCAGAGCTACCCATTTTCACTGCTGTATCTCCTCAATTTCAGCAACAGTGAAACAGACCCATTCCTATAGTTATATACCTCAATTGGTAGTCGTGAAGCTGATCTTTAAGGAGTGATGTGCAGTCCTGAAGTCAAATCGTTAAGGACTGATGTGCATATTTGCAGTAAAAGTATATGCAAGGGATGGTATTTGTAACTTAAATATTTAGGGGTACTTTTTCATAGAAAAGTCTGATTACTTTGCTTTTCTGAGGTCAGAGCACTTTAACTGATTCAAGCTATATTTTGAACATTTCATAGTTTCATAGTTTTAGGGTCGGAAGGGACCTAATAGATCTTCTAGCCCGACCCCCCGCCAGGGCGGGAGAACAACAAAAAAAACCCTAAAAACAAAAACGGGACTCAAATGAGTCCAGCCAGGTAGGCATCCAGCCTCTTCTTAAAGACCCCCAGGGTAGGGGCCAGCACCACCTCCCTTGGAAGTTGGTTCCAGCTCCTAGCCGCCCTAACTGTGAAGTAGTTTTTTCGGATGTCCAATCTGTACCTCCTCTCCATCAACTTGTGCCCATTACTCCTTGTTATGCCAGCGGGGGCTAGGGGAAACAGCGTCTCCCCCAAACCCTTCTGGTTCCCCCGAGTGAGTTTATAGACGGTCACCAGGTCCCCCCTCAGCCTTCTCTTGTGGAGGCTGAATAGGTTCAGGTCCCGCAGTCTCTCACTGTAGGGTCTGCCCTGTTGTCCCCGGATCATGCGGGTGGCCCTCCTCTGGACCCTCTCCATGTTGTCCACATCCCTCCTGAAATGGGGCGCACAGAACTGGACACAATACTCCAGCTGTGGCCTGACCAGCGTCGCATAGAGGGGGAGGATCACCTCCCTGGCTCTACTCGAGATGCACCTGTGGATGCACGAC